TACAAATGAATACATAAATAATTGAATATCCTAATTTTAGACCAACCACAGAATATATTTTCCACCATGGCCTATTTACACACATTTACATTCCAAGAGATTCTTAGCTTAGACTAATGCCCCTGAAGGATCATTTTACTAAAAGTTTCCAATAAATGATATCGGATATCTTGCTCTCCGATAGCCATCCATCACTGCATCACTGTATTGTTGAGCCACCCATTACGCATAACAGTTTCAAATTAATCCGTCTAATAATAATGTTATCTAAATAAACTATATCATAGGTGTCCAGGACTAAGGCATGCTATGCGAGTTAAATGCTAATATACGCCATCGTATATTTTTTTCTATAACCTTAAATAATCCTATTTTCCGCTGCTTATCTTCTTTATTTTGTTCCAACGTAATTTCTACGACTTATGCTACAGTTTCTCAAAACATTTTTGTCCTATTTAATCGTACTAGATTTTGTCAAAGCACATTTTTCACGGCATATTCTACTTTATTTCATTACAATATATTTTTCACTGCATATTCTACTTTATTTTATCACAATATATCACATGAGGCCTACACTTCAGCGCCGAGATCACTATGTTAATGTATGTTAATGTTAACATTCCTCACGGGATATTTGTCAGGACCTATACCATGCCACTATCCCTCCCTCAGGAGTGTGAGCGCTACAGGGAGCCGGTGAGCCAGGCCCTTAAGGCGCTCCTCGCCCTCAAGTGGTGCATCGAGTACGAGAGCAGCGACGGCGGCGCCGGCAGGGACATGATACACTCCAGTGACTCGGTGGGTGCCTTCTGGGGGCCATCTTGCATGAGTCATTCAATACAATTATGTTTATTCTTATTCAGAACATTTTATAAACGTTTTATTTACATTATGATTTAGAATATTTTAGATACACAGTATATACATTAACATGCATTAGAATTAGATACATTAGACATAGATACACTCCAGCGACTCGGTGGGTGCTTCTTGCCTGTCACTTTGCACGAGTTATTCAAGAAATTATGCACATTCTCATTCACAACATTTTATAAACGTTTTATATACATTAATGTATATTAGATACATGAAACATAGATACACTCCAGCGACTCCGTGGGTGTCTCCTGACTGCCATCTCGCACGAGTGAGATGGCATAAAATGATGCAAATTAGATATTTAGATATGATTAGTGCAACTTAGATTCTTAAATTTTCGAGTTAAATTGTTATAGGTCCAGCCTGATTCATTCTAAAATAATATGAATTATTAGATAAAATAAATCAGATAGGTACATTAGTTAAATTATACATTATATGTATAACTATTATTTATATTATCGAACTTCAAATTATTATATTTTCGTCGCACAATTCAGCTTTTTCGTTACATTTAAACGGCTTTTTCAAATCGACCAAAACTGACTTTCAAATTGAAATTTGCGTAAAGCTGCTATTGCACGGGAACAATGAAGCAGCCAGAACAAATTTCAGATGCCAATAGCTACTAACTATCATGCTACTGGCCTCATGTAAAGAGTAACTGGGACTTTCCATTGTCAGTAGTGCCTATACACGAGGCCAATAACACGGTAAATAGTGGCGTTTTGTGAATGAAAGATGCACTGGCCGCTAAAATTTACATTTCAAAGCAATTCAAACTTCAATTGGCAAAGTGTACAATGAATTTTAACTTTAATGCAGACGGACATATACAACTATAACCCGACGCCGGTGGACATGACGAACCTGACGCTGAGCCGCGACATGCAGAACATGGCCGACCGTCTCGCCGAGAACGCCCACGACATCTGGGCCAAGAAGAAGAAAGAGGAGCTCGATGCTTGTGGTCAGATGTAGTCCCTTTATTCAAATTACGTTGAAATAATGTTAATTACTACGTTTACGTTGAAATAATGTTAATTACGTGATATTTTTGTTGAAATGTTTTTACTTATGAGTCGATAACGTTGAAATGACGTTTATTTTCCGTTTGCTAGCTACTAAACTTGAGTGTAACGTTCTCTCGAAGTCTTTTTTAATCAGACGCCACGATCACTGCTTCATAGAATAACAATAATAATAATCAACGTTCTTTAAATGTCAGATGCCTTCAGGGGTGCTTGTTGATCAAGATATTTTTATTGAACCTAAGGTGCACCGATAATTAATATTTGTAATGGAAAAAGTTGAGAATTTAAAAGTTGGAACTCGATTACACTTCTATCCGATAACTCAATTGAGAAGCCGGTACAAAGCCAGTAGCTATAATGACGCACGATTGGAAAAATGTATGAACGTATCCATCTCGCTTGCTTCGTTGTCTAATTTTGTAATATTTTATCTTGTCGAATGTCTTGGGTCTTTGGAGACTTCTTCCTGATTTTTTTTAGTGCTTCTTCTTTTTTTAGGCGTCTTCCCCAATTTGATCAAATTTCAATTAAGTTTCATTGTTCTTATATAACAGATCCAATGTATTCCTGGTTCTTGTCAGTGATCGCGCATTCCACCGAAATATATAAATTCATTATTTTCCATGGCTATAATTTTTGAACTCGTGTCTTCCTCTTTTCATGTCTCAACCAGGAGCCGCACGACGTAAGTGTCCTCAGATGGACGTTTCGCAGCCCTCAATCGAGAATCCTTATACTATCCTTAGTATCCTTAGTATATATGTGTTTCGGATGTAGTATCCTTAGTATACATGTATTTCGAATGTAGTGTATTTCGGATTCTCAGGCCACGATGGATCGTCATTTCTACTAATTTTAAATTCCTTTCATTACTTAAGAAATTCATTTCTTTTGCAATCCATTTTTTTAGAGACGTCTTTTTAGTTTTTCTTTTAATATGCGTGTGTATGAATTGGAAATTAGGGGAGAATCGAATAATTTAATTTACCTCATTATTGAGAGTAACTATGAAACCTTTCAATTATTTGTACTATCTGTTTCATTGTAGTAGTTTCTTAATTGTTTACAAATAATGCTTGCATTATTTACCTTTCTTCCTGTTGTGTCACAGGGGGCGGTGTTCACCCTCAAATGGTGCCGTACGACATGCTCACTGAGAAGGAGAAGAGAAAAGAAACTTACATTACAATTTTCCTCTTTGCACTGCGCAGAGGTCACTTACATTCCAACCTTCCACTTTGCACTGCGCAGAGGTCACTTACATTCGCATTACTTTGCTCTACGCAGAGGTCACTTACATTCCAACCTTCCACTTTGCACTGCGCAGAGGTCACTTACATTCCAACCTTCCTCTTTGCACTGCGCAAAGATCACTTACATTCCAACCTTCCACTTCCACCAGGCAGAGGTCACTTACATTCCAACCTTCCTCTTTGCACTGCGCAAAGATCACTTACATTCCAACCTTCCACTTCCACTAGGCAGAGGCCACTTACATTCCAACCTTCCAATTTGCACCTTACCCTTTGCACTGCGCAAAGGTCACTCACATTCCGACCTTATCCTTTGCACTGCGCAAAGGTCACTTACATTCCAACCTTCCAATTTTCACCTTCCACTTTGCACTTCGCGAAGGTCACTTATATTCCAACCTTATCTTTGCACTGCGCAGAGGTCACGGCGCAGGCGACGACTCAGGCGCGGCGGCGGCGCTAGAGCGGCGGTTCGCCTACAGTCTGCTGGAGAAGCTCATCGAGTATCTGGACTGCGCGGCCATCAACATGAAGCTCCTCAAGCCGTCCAGCAACTTCTCCAGGCGGTCTTCGTATAAAACGTCCACCAAGGACGTCAAATTCTTCTCCAAAGTGGTGCTGCCGCTCATGGAGAAATATTTCAGGTTATCTTATCGATCAATCAATTAAGAGGGTATGAACTGCTCTACTCAATTAAAACTGTTTTCATGCGCCAATTCCTGTACGCAAAGCAAACGTGTCTTATTTAAATAAATTTCCTTCTTCCACCTAGTTGTAGGCATAGATATCATATCAATATCGTTTTTTTAATCCATGCTTAACTGTACAGGCACAACTGTATTTACACTAGGTACGATTGTACTGTTGAAAACTCAACATTTAGCCTCTTTTGCGTTGGGTTACAGTTTAATAATATCTGATGTTTGATGCAGCACCAACCGAAGCTACTTCCTGGCGATGTCGACCTCCACGAACATGGTGGGCGCAGCGTCCCTCAAGGAGAAGGAGATGGTGGCCACTCTTTTCTGCAAGTTGGCTAACCTCATGAGACTCAAAATCGCCTGCTTCGGCGGGGACACGCAAGTCACTGTCAAGTGCTTGCAGGTGAAGCCATCTCCACACTAATTTCTTGCTAATTCAATATATATGTGTGTGTTAGTGCACATTCTTTTTTGTTCGAACTGTCATCGTTCTTTCTTGCAGAGAGTAATATTGTAATATTTGCAACCGTTTAAATTTCTTCCAATATGTTTTGGGAATGGAATCTTTTCGGACATGTTTTTCTTGCGTTCATGTATACTATAAGAATTATTCCAATTCAATATTTCTACTGGCTGCGCGTGCAGGTGATGGTGCGTTGCATAGACGCCAAAACTCTCACTAAGAGCCTGCCAGAGTTCATCCGCACGTCCATGTTGACATTCTTCAACAACGCGGCCTTCGATCTCGAACGCTGCATCCAGTTTCTCCAAGAGGTACCAGTCTCTTTGCTACTTGAAAGTTGAGAATTAAACCTTTTGTGTTACATTTGGGACTTGATAAGCTTCTTATAAGAGTGGAAAATGTGGCAAAATTCTTCCGTTAAGATAACTTTCTCCTCTGTTTGATAATGGCCGATAATTACATTTTCTAGAGCCGTTACGCCTACATCCGCGGCACGCACCTGAAAACAGCGTCGTCGCTGAACTACGTGCAGATGGTCCTCATGCCCGTGCTGACGTCGCTCTTCGACCACACCGCGGCATACGAGTTCGGCCAAGACCTCTTGCGTGAGTCACTCTAATACCAAACTATTGCATGAACCATTTTAGTACCAAACTATTGCCTGAGACTTTCTAGTACCAAACTCTTGCCTGAAATTATAGTACCAAACTCTTGCGTTACCCAGTCAAAGGCCGGACTCACTCACTTGGTCCTCGATTCTTATTTATTCTTTTTAATAGTAATCTGTGTTATTTTGCAGTGAATCGATCTGTTTATGGACGAATTTGTTATGGGGAAAAATTGAGGTCCTTGATGGTACGTAATGAGAAGAATTATTTTTGTGGTTCGCGAGAGTGCGATAAATAACGTTTCTGTTTTAATGTCTTCCTAGTTCCGGTCTTGTATCGAGTCGCTAATTTTTGTTCCTAAAGTTACTCTAGGAAGTTTTTTGTCCAGAGCACTGCGATCGTTGCAATAAAAATAGTCTGAGGAATTAAGTTGTCTGTTCTGGACAAGAAGACGCACCTCGACACTCTTACGTCAGACTATACTTATTTTCGGCAGGAGCTCGCCTTATTTTGTGTTTCATAAGCGACAATTTTCTTTTACTCACACCTTTTTGCGCTGCGTCGTATTAAGAAAATCTCATCATTTTCAATTAGAGGAAAAATTTGTACTCTTTCCCAGTGGACGAGATCCAGGTGGCTTGCTACAAGATCCTGGCCGCCTTGTACCAGCTGGGCACCGACCTCACGCTCGATAAGAACAGGAAGTTCATCAAGATCGCCTTGGACCGCAACCGCCCGTCCATCGGCAGCTGTCTTGGGGCCTTCGCTGCCACCTTCCCCGTCGCCTTCCTCGAGCCAATGATGAACAAGCAAAACCCCTTCAGCATCCACAACCGCATAGCCGACCAGAGCCTCGAGGCACAAGGTATATGCACTTAATATTCAGTACAATCTCTTATATTTTAATCTCTAAATATCTGTAATATCGATCCCAACAGAACCGAAATCAGCTACAATTAACCGTGTTTTCATCTTAGCGTCTTTTTCGTCTCATTCTGTCTTTTCCTTTTCCCCCTTTCTTTTTTTACCCTTCTGTGGCTGCTCTTGCTTTTTCTCACTCTCTTTCCTAGTAGCACCGCTACAACAATAAAGTGGCATTTCTTATGGATTAAGAACGACAGCATAAACTGAAATTCTCTTTTTGCACGTAACCTATTTCTTTTACCGTGCTTGTACGTTTATACGGTACTTATACGTTTATTTTTATGTCAATATTTACTTCCACAGAGTTTTGACGCCCTGGTTTTCTATCATTGACACAATTTTCGTAATTCTGTCAGAAATCATCGTAAAGATGGAGACAGCGATCCCTTCGCTGGAGGAGATCCTGAAGGAAGTGCAGAAGTTCGTGGACGAAGCCATCTCCCACGACCAGTCGCCTCACATCATCGACATCCTCCTGCCCATGCTCTGCTCATATCTCCCCTTCTGGTGGAACGTTGGCCCCGACAACGTCAACCCTTCCGAGGGGTGCGTGTCTTGTTTAACTTCATTCCTATTGTTTTCTTTAACAGTTTTTCCCAATGGTATAATTTATTAAATGATTATCTAAGCGAGGGTACTTTTATATGTTTTTACTAGTTGCTTATCTAATGTTTGGTGTTGAGCGCTCCATAGCCAGTCCACATTTGTGAGCAAAATTTTACTAGCACCATGACTGCGCCAAAGTTATAAAAGTTAGTGTTTGATTATGTTGGAGTCCGATGCCTAATCATTATATTATGCGTAGAGTTATAAAACTTGTATGGAGATATGTGGTAATATATGTTCATGTGTGCAGGAACCACGTGTCGATGGTGACATGCGCTCCGATGAACACGTTGCTGCGTCTTGTGCTGCGGCTCATCATGAACAACGTCGGGGTTGAGAACTCGCCTTGGATGACTCGCATCGCCGGCTACACCCAACAGATCATCATCAACTCGAGCGAGGAGCTGCTCAGCGAGCCTTACCTTCCTCTCGCTGAAAAAATCCGTAAACGTACCGAACATATGTACCTGAAAGAGGAGAACCTCCGCGGCTTCTTGAAGTCTTCCACTGAAGACACGAGTCAAGTTGAGGGACAATTGCAGGAGGAGTGGCAGATTCTCGTGCGTGACATCTACGCTTTCTACCCCCTGCTCATCAAGTACGTTGACCAGCAGAGAAACCATTGGCTCAAGAATAACATCGTCGAGGCTGAGGATGTCTACAACCACGTCTCGGTCATCTTCCATGCATGGTCCAACTCCCAGGTGAGATGTGCTACTAGTGTGTCGAAGTTGTATTGTTTTCGACACAGCAACCAAATTATATTACGATAAAGAAATTCAAAATTTAACCACACATTAAACTCCAACAGTAAATAAAAAGGAAAACCTAATTAATTCCTTTATTGAGTAATCATTAAACATCATTTCATTACTTAACTTTAATTTGGATCACCATTATATCCGTGCAACACAGTTTTTCCTGTTAATTTGTACTTCAGCCCCAATTGGACGAGCTTACCAGTAGAGAATACGTACATATCCCGTTCTGAGTCATGTGCTCGAGATAATCGGTCCAGGGCAGAATTTAAAAAGTTTTTGTCAGGTTCGCTCGTTTATTCGTTGCATCAATGAATTAAATCGATGGACCAAGCAAGAGACAGTCTCATAAAAAGTATCTGTTTTTTTTTTGTTGCGTCATAACAATTGCAGGAATGGCAAAGAACGGCAACTTTTACCTGCGTGTGTTTGTAAGCATTATATATAGGATATTCATGTAGGAAGTGTATCGAGACCCATCAATAGAGACCAAAAAATTGAGACCCATCTATTGAGACCAAAGAATTGACACCCATCTATTGAGACCCATCAATAGAGACCAATGAATTGATACCCATCTATTGAGACCCACAATAGAGACCAATGAATTTAGACCCATGTATTAAGACGGTAAGACCCATGAATAGAGGCCAAATAATTGAGACCAAAGTATTTAAATCCGAATACTGAGATCCCAGTACCGAAGTATTGAGACCTCTGCCTCCCGCTGCAGTACTTCCGTCGCGAGGAGACCAACTTCATCAGCCAGAACGAGATCGACAACATGACTCTCATCATGCCTACCACCTCTACACGTAGCCGCAACGCCATCCTCCCTGAGCCTGCAGCCGCGTCCGGCGGCAAAGTCAAGGTGTGTGTGATTAAAAAACTTTTTTGCATATCTTCCTTTGTTAATTTTTTCTTGGGAATTCGTGCAAATAAAATGTTTTTGCCGCGTCGAGCGGCAAAGTCAAGGTGTGTGTGATTGAAAAAACTTTTTTTGCACATCTTCCCTTGTCAATTTTTTCTTGGGAATTCGTGCAAATGAAAATTTTTTGTGTATTTTCTTGCGTCACTTTTTTTTATATGTTTTGTGTGGTGTTCGTCGCATTTATTGTACACTGGGGATCGGGCATGTTTCACAACGCCTTCATATTAAAAAACTGTCAGATTTTCTATTACTTTAATATAATTTGTGGCTAACAAAAGTGGTATGCTGGCGCAATGTCTTAGAGTAATAAGTATCGAGCAAATTGTAATCCATGAAAAATACGTAAAATAATAATAATATACGAAAAAAAATTTTCAATCATTCTCGATAAATTTACCGGGGACTTTACGCGATATCCTGCCCTGCTTCTAACCGACGATCGTTTTTAATTTAAGAACAATCCTCTTATTTCTGATGCGTATTCCTGAAACTTCAAACATTTTAATACTCAAACTTATTTGAATTGAGTCGATGGTACTGTTTGATCACACTACAATATTGTTTAATAGCGTACATGCATAAATCATAATTTAAATTAAAAATCTTGTTTCAATTTAATAAACAAATAAATCTTCTAACTCCCAGTAAATGATAACTTAAATGCTTTTGAGTATTGTGGTCGCTCTAAGCATGAACCTTCCTTCGAATTTGTCTATAAGTACCGAAAATTTTTGCATGAATTTTCAGAATTTTTTAAATAAAAGATCTCTATTTACTCCCTAAAAATTTCAAAAATAATCCTAGAAACTCATTAACTTTGCGTGATCTTGTTGACTGGAAGGATTTTTTGCTCAAAGCTGTACAATATAAGAAGCTAAACCGTCATCACCAGATCACAGGAAAACGAACAACATTATAGATAATTTAATATGTATTCTGGCATATTTCATGGCTTTGAAAGTCATAGCGAAGCATGAGGTGATCCGCGAAATTGTTACAATACTTGCAGAAATTTAAATACATTGTGTGGTCGATAAATTTCATACACTTGAACCATTTATTCACGTTTTATTCCCTTATTTGTGTACTAATGTTATTTCACTATTAGCATTATTTCTGACAATTACTGATAGTGGAATCTGTTAGTGATTTTTTAACTTTTAGTTTTTATAGAACTTCTTTACTTATCTTCCACCATATACTCGAAGCCAACTTCATAGTCTAACACTCTTGCCTCACAATTTTTTCTCTGATGGTTGAACGACTTTAGCGTAGTCAAGATATCTTCTTCTCTGAATATTCTAGTTGCCAGGTCACTGATTTTTAATTCAATTTAATCATTGTTAATTTCTTCGTTCTGAACATGTATATAACGCGAAGGGAGCTTGGTCAATTTCTTGAGAAGGTTTCAACAGATATGTTTGTTGTGGACATACTAATAAGCTTCCATATCTCGGATCTGGCCGTGTGTTAGCAATAACTGTCTCTACTTTGGCCGTGTGTTAGCAATAACTGTCACTTCTTTGGCCGTGTGTTAGCAATAACTGTCACTTCTTTGGCCGTGTGTTAGCAATAACTATCACTTCTTTGGCCGTGTGTTAGCAATAACTGTCACTTCTTTGGCCGTGTGTTAGCAATAACTGTCACTTCTTTGGCCGTGTGTTAGCAATAACTATCAATATCGATATGGTGAATTTTCTTGGCGTTTTCTTTGCTTTTAAATTCCTTGTGAACTTGCGATATAAGCAGACTAATGATATAAGTACTTTGGCCGTGTGTTAGCAATAACTGTTACTACTTTGGCCGTGTGTTAGCAATAACTGTTACTACTTTGGCCGTGTGTTAGCAATATCTGTCACTACTTTGACCGTGTGTTAGCAATAACTGTCACTTCTTTGGCCGTGTGTTAGCAATAACTGTCACTACTTTGGTCGTGTGTTAGCAGTAACTGTCACTACCCAGGCTGTGCTTGCAGGATTCAGCAGCTGCAGTTGTCGCTCATTCAGTGCAGGTGCAGTTGTTCTTCCTCTACTGTTCTATTAGACGCACTGCTTGAAGTTTCCTTCGTATCTAGTACAAACTGCACTCCAAATTTCTGCTTGCTTGTTCACTAACATGGTTTTCTTTGCATGTTGTCTTGCTGTAGATGCATAGATCCGTCAATAAAAATCCTATCTTGATAAATAAATTTTATAAGCAAACAAGCGTTCGTAAGAAAATGATGGCTAAAAACACCGTAAAGCATGAAAGTTGTTCGTAATGGCGCATGGAGGCTAAATATACAAGAAAGCCGTTATGGTAGAGGACATACGTCTTGGAAACGAAATTTCGTGACACTGTGTTCAACTCGACGCGTGCTTGACTGTGATTAAAAAACATTTGCTATGATTGATGTAAAAGTAGTCTCTAGAATTTCTAATAAAACATAGCTGAATTTATTTATCAGTCGCATGTGAAACTTGCTCCATAGGGACAGGCGTGCAAGTTTTTATGTATAGCATTTGTCTATAGCATTTTGAGAATTACTCGGAAGTAACCTTCCCTTAGTTTCTTGCGAATTTTAAAGAGCTAAATCATGGTGCAGTATTCATCCTCTTCACACTAAATTTTAAGCAGTGCTTTTATTGCTTCGCAAGATCGTCGTATGTATGACGTTTTGAAATTTTCATTCAAAGCATTTTGAAATTTTCATTCAAATTACTACATTTTAACTAGAACAAAATTGGGGTATTGTAAACTCTAGAGGCAATCTATTTATTTTTTGTTGGTAGTGGAGGCACATGTTTAAAATTAGTCATATTGTGTATTGGGATCACATGTCATCACAAATGATCTCATCACAAATGATATCACAAATACTGCAATCACAAGAAAGATGTCACCAAAAATGATGACATCACACGTACATGATGTCATAACAAATGATGCAATCACAAATATGATGTCATCACAAATGATGACATCACAATAGATGACACCACAAAGAAATGACTTCATCTGTACGAGATTGCATGCTCTTTTTAGCCTATGAATTAAGGTGACCAGTTGACAAGATAGGTAACCCCTGCGCTGTGTTATTCTAGNAATACCTGTCTCTTATACACATCTCTTTATTGCGCTTCACCTACCGCGGCTTCACTTCATGATGGATTTTCCAGAAATGCTAAGGATAAACTGATAATTTTTCTATTCCAAGATTAATTTTACGACACTCTTCTCGCCTCAGAAAGTGAATGAGACCGAGATTTTGGAGTTCGCCAAGACTCAGCTGACGTTACCTGACAAGATCGACCCATCAGACGCCATGAACTGGCAACACACGCTCTACTCGCAACTGGGGGGCGGCCGCACCCCGCGCTCCAACGACACCGATGATAAGAAGCTCGTACCACCTATTGATGATACCGTCGAGAGGATCGTCGCTATGGCCAAAGTTCTTTTCGGCCTCCACATAGTAAGTGGGAGTTCAAATTTTGTCTGTAATAGCCTTTCCGATTTTTAGCGCATTTTCTCATTTATGGAAAAAATGCACTATTGTGGTCGCCATGTCCGTCTGTCCGTCCGTCTGTCTGTTTGTCCGTCCGTGACTTCACGTTTTCGTCGATGAGAAAATACGCTCTCTGTCACTCACTGCAGTGAGTACCGAGTTATATTTTTTTTAATTAGATCCTCGGTTTAAATTATTATAAGTAATTATTATAAGCAATTTTCCTTCGCTTCGGTTTATTTGGAAAATTATTTGTGTTTGTAAGATGTTCTTGTATGGAAAAATAACTTGTATGTATAGTTTTGTTGAGGTCGTAATTTCTTATTAGTAATTATTATGAGTAGGTGTTATCACGAGCTGCACAGCGTGTGTACAAAGCTTGACGACGTGCCGATTACAGAATATTTTCTCTTCTTTCTCTCGTGGCTTATGTCAGATAATTTGTAAGTAGTAAAGTATTATTTTCAAAATTTTTCGCATTTATTTTAATTGTCTTGTTATGTAAGTGAAGCCTTTCAAAATATAGCACATTTAGCAGTATTTTAGGAAGGCTTGCTTCACATAGAATGGCTTCACATATAAGTGAAGCCTTTCAAAATATTGCACATATAGCAGTATTTTCGCAACGAAGTAATTCTTTATTGTTCGTCAGCGTTAGGAATATGGAAAAGATGCAAAACGTTTCTCTAGGTCGTTTCCTCTGTTTTCCACTTTTTAATGTCAGGTTTCGTTAGACTCATGTCTCGAAAAAAATATTCACTGCATCATTATATATACAGACTGATACAGAATTTGTTCTGTGAATATTAACTCTGTTAATTTTTTATTTGAATTATTTGCGTCTTCTTAGTTCATTATAATGTGGGGTCTTTGAACGATTTTCGGTCAATTATTTCAAGAATCCGAAGTGAAAGAAAGCGCAGGAGCTCGATTATTTTTTTGGCCTGGTTGTATTGGTGCTCAAATTGGCTTGTAAAAATGTTGTTTCCAAGATTCTAACCTCAAAAATGAGCCGCCCCGAAGCGGGCGTGGATCCGAAGACTTTGGTGGGTACAGCCTCGTCAAAAAAATGCGTGGGATGGCAAAAGAGATGAACGCTTGCCCAAATGCGGTCCTACACGCATTAAAACGTATTGCGAAATTCGAAAACTTGGAAAAACGGGTGTTCAATGATTTGAATGGTAGGCAAAAAATTTATCTTTGTGGGGTCTGTTTTTCTTACTTCCTCACATCCAAAACGTTCCCTTTTTTGGGGCGAATTATAGCGTGAGCTGGAAAACGGATCCTTCACGACNCTGTCTCTTATACACATCTAGATGTGTATAAGAGACAGCCTGAAGACCGCGTCGTCGCTGAACTACGTGCAAATGGTCCTCATGCCCGTGCTGACATCGCTCTTCGACCACACCGCGGCCTACGAGTTCGGCCAAGACCTCTTGCGTGAGTCATGCTAGTACCAAACTATTGCATGAAACATTCTAGTACTAAACTCTTGCGTGAGACTTTCTAGTCCCAAACTATTGCATGAAACATGCTAGTACCAAACTATTGCCTGAAACATTCTAGGATCAAACTCTTGCGAGCATCATTCTACTAACAAATTCTTGCATGAAACATTCAGTAGCAAACTATTTCCTGAAACATTCTAGTGCCAAACTCTTGCCTGAGCCAATCAAAAGCCAGACTCACTCACTTGGTCCTCGATTCTTATTTGTTTTTTGGACTAGTAATCTGTGTTATTTTGTAGTGAATCGATATCTTAATGGACGAATTTGTTATGGGGAAACTTTGAGGTCCGTGATGGCACGTAATGCGACGAATTTTTTTATGGTTCGTGAGAGTGCGACAAATAACGTTCCCGCTTTAGTGTCTTACAAGTTCAGGCCACGTTCTGAGTCGCTAATTTTTGTTCTTAAAGTTACTTTAAGATGTTTTTTGTCCAGAGCACTGCGATCGTTGCAGTAAAAATAGTCTGAGAAATTAAATTGTCTGTTCAGGTTTCGTGAGAACGAGACCTTCGCTGTCGTTGGACAGATCAGCGAGAATGTCAGACCCATCTAAGTTCAATAGCATTTTAATTGACGTAACCATTGAGCAGCTGGCACAAACACCGTTAGAAAAAAATTATTGTGAACTGTGCCACTTATCAAGACCAGAAGAGTTCTTCCTTGTAGCCATTCCAAGTGCGTGAAAACTGCGTATTGATTGTATGACCATCTGGTCAACTTACTGGATCCGTGAGAAATAAGTGACTCTACTCCTACTCATATAGGAGCAAGAATCAAGGTATTTCTATCTTCAGGAATTATCTATGAAAAGAAGACGCACTCTGACACTCTTACACCAGATTATACTTATTTTCGGCAAAGAGCTCGCCTTATTTCGTGTTTTATAAGCCATTTTTTTTACTCGCGAATTTGGTGCTGCGTCGTATGGATAAATTCTCTTCATTTCAAATAATGAAGAATTTTTTATTCTTTCCCAGTGGACGAGATCCAGGTGGCTTGCTACAAGAT